GGACGTTGGCTTCGGTAGTTTATTTTTTTGCGATTAACGAGACTGTCTACAATGTCACTATCTTTAGCTACCTATTTTAAAAAGTCTCAATAGAACTCTTAAATCACAAAGCATTTCTAGCATTCAAATCACATCAATGCAACATTCAATAGTTATTCTTTGCGAAAGGAAGCACGTTCAGACAGAAAGTACCAACGAGTGTTCGAATTGAGATAAGAGGAACAGAATCCAAACTGCACCACACTTGGATGAACACACACAATGGCACCTGGTGTTGTACACAATACCTAATGCTGGTATTCTTTTAAAAAGCCATTTTCCTTTTGCACAATTGTCAGGAGCTTGGCTGTCATAGCCAGATCCCCTATACACTAGACAAATTATTTATTTCGGTTTTTCGTTGTCCTAGAATGACCTCTTTGAACTGCATTGGTATTGTTTTCCCACATTATAAGAAAGACAACATCCACTTATTTTAATAAAACCTGGAGGAAACGCGTTGTAGTAGTGGTGAAGTTTTTCAAATACTTCAGTTTAATTTTGTTAGTTGATTTAGTTTCAGTTGATCGAGATGTTTATACAAAAACAAACTAAGAATACATGGTCCAGTAGTATGTAGTATGTAGCTTTTAATTTAAATTTGCGCTAGTAAAATCTGCTAAATTTTTCCCTCATTCATTTAGGGTTAAATAAGTAGGAATTAACTTACATTATTTTTGATTGTCGCAGGCCTTGAACAAAATGCCACTATTCTGGTTTTGGTTGATTTTTCGAACGCTTTCAATATGGTCAGTCACGATATCCTTTTAGCAATCTTATCCCATCTTGCGATCTCTGGCAAATCACTCGAATGGTTCTCTTCCTATCTTCAGGAGCGTCAACAGTCCATTAAGCTCGATGAGGTTTCATCTAATTGGTGTAAATTGGAAACTGGCGTTCCTCAAGGCGGTATACTATCTCCTCTTTTATTTTCCATCTTCATTAATTTTATAACTTCCCAACTTCAGTGTGCGTACCATCTGTATGCTGATGACTCAATCCCACTTAGTAGTGAAGTTAAGGATTTGGGCCTGTACATTGACAGTCATTTGAAGTGGCATACTCATGTCGCTAGTGTATGTAAAAGGGTCACCGGATCCCTGCGGACACTGTGTCGCCTGAAGAATTTGCTTCCGTCTGCTACGAGAGCAATGCTGGTGCAGGCCTTGGTTTTTCCTATTATAGATTATGCTGATGTTTGTTACTACGACCTGAATGCTGATCTACTCAATAAACTCGACCGACTTCTTAACAACTGCATTCGATTCGTTTTCAACCTGCGTAAATATGATCATGTTTCTGCACATCGGTTGCAATTGAAGTGGTTGCCCATACGCCAGCGCAGGGAGCAAAGGGCGCAAACCACTCTGTTCTCTTTCCTCAACTCACCTTGTTCGCCTAGCTATCTATCCTCTTACTTTCAATACTTGTGCGCAAACCACAGCAAAAATCTTCGTTCTTCCCATAACCGTCTTCTCCAATGTCCCACTCACCGCACTGATTTTCTCCACTCCTCCTTTTTTGTCCAGTCTGTCTTGCTGTGGAATGCGCTCCCCCCGGATATCAGGATGGTGTCTAGTCGCTTGACTTTTAAACAAAAGGTTCGTGAGCTTTTATTGAAAGGTTTGGCTAAATCGTGACCACCATACATTATTATTAATAAGTATTAGTATATGTATGTATATAGTATATGTATGTATGTAGTATACTTATGTATGTATATAGTATATATATGTAGAAGTTATTTATTATTATATAATATAATTTGAGTATGAATGTAGGTATATATTAGGGATATAGTAACTTGTACGTTAATACGCACATATATCTATCTCGTATGTCTTATCAGATTTAAAGTTAAGCCGTTTGCTTGCTTCTTGCACCGACCATTGGCTCATCTCTGCATCACCCAAGGTTTGACTGGTAGAAAATGCCTTAGGCATTAAGTCCGCCTATGTACCCATTGTGCATGAAGTTTAAATAAATAAATAAATAAATAAATGCCTCAAAAGAATTCGACATTGAGATAACTTTATATCTAAGTAGGTCATGTTCCATCACAATCTTCTTTTCTTCCTTTTACTAATGCGCTAAACTTAACAAAAGTTTTCTGCATCAGAGAGGCCATCGTAGAAAAACGTTCTTGTATTTGTTTTTCATATATTTTCTAAAAGACATTTGGCTTTGTTTTTATTTCTATAATAGTCTGTTGGTCTGAATATATCTTCAATATATAATATATCTATCTTCTTGTATAGGTGTATAGTTAATAGTAACAAGGTAGGTACTTAAATATCTTTTGTGGTCCACCATTCTGTACTCGTAAATCACTTGTTTTAATTTATTTTAAATTGCAAATATTTGCTAAGCAAAATATTATGAGCTAAAACTATGTTAGACAAACAGCAAAGTTTAAATGTCAGGGAGTGAAGTTATTTCAGAATAGTAACTAGTTGCTATAGTTTCAGTAACAACAATAGGTATAACTTGTCTAGGAGTCAAAATAATGCCTAATTGGCCTAGTTTTATACAACCACTTCTAGGTGAGACAGATTGATTAGATCTTATAAAGCACCTTAAAATATGGGTCAACTGAAATCTAGGGATTGATTAAATTTGAGATTTAATAAATTGGATGTCGTTTTAAAATTTTGTCTTTTGAATTTACTTCACAAAATAAATAACACCTGTTCTTTTTAATTCAAATACATATTTTTCAAGTTGGAATATTTCAATTTCTTGTATAATACACCTAGTATAACAGGACTATGGAATACGCACTACTAAAATAGGTATTTTTGTTATTTTAAAACTGAGCATTTTGTTTTGCCTATCAAAAGACTAACTTCAAAACATGTGCACATAAATTAAAAGGGATTAACAAAACATCATAAAATTCACCATTTTACACCTTATGAATAAAAGTTATAATAAGTTTATCAAGTTTTAACCACACGCTATTAAAAGTACCACTTTATGATAAAGATTTATTTTAGAAGTGGTTTAATCTGCATTGTAATAAACAATAAGTCGACATCGATCAGCCATTCTAAAAATATCCTGAAACTGATCTAAAAAGTGGCATTAAAGTCGTGAATCCAAATAAAATAACAAGTTCGTTGCCCCATCTGGGCGTAAGTATGAATGGACTGGGGTGACCACACGACGGGATGTTCCGGCCTAACTTTTACCCCGGGATTAACTTCTAGACGGAGATTAATTACAATCCACGTCACCTATTTTGAATGTTATATTTTCAAGTTACTTATAAACTTTACTTTAGAAGCTGGAGTTTTAAAGTCAATGCTATTATTACTATAATAAATATACTTATTACTTCTTAAAAAGCAGGCAATCGACCTTCTCAGAACAATCAGCTACTGAAAATATGTTTTAGTAAATATTCGCTCTTTATTCTTATACAGAAGGATTCCAATCTTAAGCAGAATCCGATAGGCTCTCAAAATTTCCTAATCCATTTCTAATCATTGCACTCAATTTGCAAAATGAAATGGCTTTAAAATCGTTTGCCTTTCAATGAATTAAATTATTTAGTGCATTCTGACTCGATTTCATCTTGATGGCGTAGATTATTGTTTTTAATAAATTACTTTTCAAAAACAACAGATATAGATAAATAAAGTGTTAAATAATTAGAAGTGTTATATAGAAATCTTTATAGTATTTGCGATGACAATGAAAAAAAACTGGATTTTGTTATTTTTTTTTCAGCAAGACAAAAATATTCCTAATTGTTTTTTACATTTTGAGGTAGGTATATTATATTTATAATATGTCATATATTATTTATGTAAAATTAAAAATGAATTAAAATCTCGAAAACAATTCACATACTTACAAAAAGGAAAATCCCTCACAACACTCGGCCACCCTACACACAAAGTATTACAATAACATTCAAGCAATACGTTTTCCTTTTGTTTTCTGAGTTTTTATTTATGTGGCAACATATTTCGCCATGTTTTTCAAAGGGATCCGTTTACAAAGTGAGCACTTGTTATATTTCTACAAGTATTGACATATTGCTGACTATTGTACTTGTCAAACTATATAACCATTTTAAGCTGACTTTTCATTGTTTATGCTACGTTTAAGACAGGAGATCAATGTAAACTGGGAGTATAGTTTCATGTGCAGCTGTCTGCTATGTGTGGACTTTGACATTTTGTAAGAGGGTAACATCCGTTTTATAGGTCTCGTGAAAAAACTTTTATAGTACGTAGTGTCGAATTGATTGTTTCAGTGATTTGGGATTGACAGTATTACATATTGATGTGGTTTGCTCGTAGCTTTCGCTCAGAGAAGTACAGACTGAAGGACGATAGTCACTTTGCTTGCTTTCCTGTGGAAAAATGCTGAACCTTTTTTAGGTTTCTGTTTTTTTCATCAAGAATTATGATTTATGAAAAATAATTGTAGTTCGAAAAACAATTACTTATAGAAATAAAAGTCGAAAATATTTTTCAATCATTTACTCCTTATATACTACGAGTATTTACAAAAATACAAATCGTCACTTTCGCAACACAACGTAACATCGTTATAAGGTGGTTACACATTAATCTTAACAGACAGTAACAAACTCTACATTCATTGAACTCTACAAATGTAGAGACATTCCCGAAATGGCACTTAATATCAATCTATGTATTCTTTGGACACACCAAATTGTAAAGCTGACGAAGGCAAGAAACTATAATAATAAATGTCCAAAAATATCTAAACTCTATCATTACATATTTACATAAAATATACACTTAATTACAAATTTATAAATACAAATTGCACATTCATAAGTTAATTGTTTTTAACATTTTATCACTCAATCATAATATTTATCATAGTTGGACGTAGGTCTTCTATCTCTAATTTTAATTTTGATATCTTTAATTTTCCTAATCTCTCATTAACATAATATATCTGTTTAATTATCGTCAACTGGGTATTTTATAACATTGAACAATTGACCATGATTAAAATTATTAGAACTTTTTTAAACTTTCATGCATCAAGAAAAAATAATTTTGAAGCGGAATCTTCAACAGGTAATTTAAAACCTACAGCAATAAACTAAGAGTTTATTTTAAAATGGCTTCTACTATAATGGTCTTGCAAACATAAGCCTCTCACTGCCCTGCCTCCTCATAATCTCTGCTGCTGCAGGAGTCGCCACAAACACTGCGGCTTGTCCTCCAAGCTCCATGAACTTCCCTCTTTTATGGTTCCTCGCGCTCGATCTCCTCTCCATTCTATGTGTGGTATCAAACACATCCTCTCCCTCACTATGATCATAGTCTATCATTGGCTCATTAAGGACCTCTTTTCTCCTTGTCTCTAATCGCTTCTTACCATTTAAAAAGTACGATTGTGTAACGTTGGAGACATTTGGAGTAGAAATCTGTCTGGTAATCCTCGCTCCAGAACCGATTCTGTCAAAGGGTGGGAAGTGTCTCTGCATGTTTTCTGAGAATGATTGGCGTCTGAAGTTGAACTGTCGGGAGTCCAAAGGCTGGTGGGTGAAGGATGCTCGTCTCAGGAACCGGGGCTCGTGGTCCAACTGGTACGGTTTGCTTCGACCTTCAGGGTTGCGTGTAGACTTCAAGGAATCTTCGTAACTGCACCTACGAATTGATATTGAGATTTAAATGTTTTTATTTAATGTGAAGTAAATAATAATGGAATGTTGTTTGACTATAACGAGATTATGCTGGCAAAAATCATAAAAAACAAGTTTGGGAATTATCCAAATATTGGGGTTTTTTCTTAGATACAAAACGAAAAGGAATTAAATTCTGATTTGAAAGAACATAAATGTTGCTATACATAAGTTTATCGTCAACTTTTATAAAGGCGGTGAAGATAACAAGGCCATTATATTCCTAACAGATAACCGTAAACAAAATATTCAGAGAATACCCACCCGCTGCTTTCCTCAGACGTGTGCAAGCTGGACTGGCCACAGGGACACCTGGTGACCTCCGCGATGCCGGAGTCTTGCCCACTGGAATTCACGGACGTTATCGATGTATCCTGCCCCTTCCTATAGGTAAAGTGTTTTAGATGTGGCTCATGTGCTGTTAGTGTTAGTACATTGGTAATGTGTTAGTATGATGGAAGGAGCTGGAACAGGGTACGCTAATGCTATTTTTGAACATTTCTGGCTACGGTGAATGGAAAGATAAGGTACAATAATAAAATAATAATTAATTAACTCATTTCATATTGAAAAGAAATTTGTGAGTGCTTCGTTGGGATTGTTTCTTGATGATGAAAGATTTGTATTTCGAATAAATCGATAGACTGTAATTGGTATCAAGTCATCGTTTGCAGGATTTTCTCACGTCACTGGCCAACGGAGCGTTTTTATAAAAAGTTTTATTTGAAAAAAGAAAAAAAAATCCAAGATCCTTCAACTCTTCGTGATTGATGGTCAGCGGACCGAAGTACAAGCCATTATTTTTACAAAGAGATTATTCTCTAAAGTAAATAAAGAAATATAATTTTATATAGTGAAGCAAGTATACACGCTGAAAGGACGATGGCCTTAACTCATAAGGGAATTGAAATTTCACAAGCATTTGTTCCTCTTGTTTGGTAATAAGTTAACGTGTAGGTACATACTCTATTGGATAAACCTTGATTTCCCAAGTTGAATTAAGTAAGGAAGTCCTTAATTTCATATTGAATTAAGCTTTATTGTGCTGTGAGTACTGTAGAAGTGATTGTGTTAAAAATAGATAGCTTCTCTAGTTAAAGAAGAAATCCAACGATGTAAATCATCCTTTTTCCTGGTTTAATTTGGATTAATTTTGAGTAAAAATTATTTTATCTAAAAAACGGAAGCTACTATTATTAAAAAAACATTAATGGAGAACACTTAAAATATAATTGAAAGAAACATAAATTTAGAAACAACGAATTTCCTTGGCCACGGTCTATTAGGAAGACATCAAAATAATCTCATTCAAGATTTCCCATGAAACAGCAAAATGGATTAATTATTCTTACTTGTTTGTGTTTAAATTCGTTAATAATCACTAAGTTTTGAATAAATTATTTATGCTAACTTCCGCGAATTATTTAAAATATGGAAAATTTTTGATTCCTTGAACTTGTGAAGATCAAATTGGAGTATTTCAATGTCATACTGATGAGGAGAGAATGATGAGGTGATGAGGTCATATTGGTGACCTTGAAACCACCTAGAATAAATAATTGATGCTGGTCTTTTGCTTATCTTAAATAGTAAGATTTCATTAGTGTTGTTCTCAGTTCCTTGGCGTTTCTGTATAGTTGAAACCTTCGTGTTTAATTTTATCTGCAAGTTTGAGTTGATGATTTTCAACATTATTAATTTCTCTAGTTTTTCGAAAATGTTGATAGTGTGTGAAATAAAATCTGATTTATTTGTTTTGTACCTAGTTGCTTGGTTTATCTGTCACTGATAAGAGAAACGTCTAAACATTTTTAAATAAAATATTGCCACATTTGTTCTATAGAGCAAAAATATTTTTTTACTTGTTTCTGTATTTGTACTTGTAATTGTATTTTAAATTTGCAGACAGTAAGTAATGCAGTAGTGAAAACTTATTACTATTTGAAGATTAGATCGAATCCAAATAAATTCTCAATAAATAAATAGCCCTGTTCTGGTCCTCAATAAAAATTAGATTTCGAGTGATTTCTGTTATAGGAACATAATAATATCAGCATTTTTTGTGTTTATGGTAATTGGCTAGGAAGCAATTAAGTAGTAGGGATCTCAACCTGGCCTTTAAATATTCATAATTATACAATACATTAAATATTTAATCCAGTAATTATTATACTGCTTTATAGCATATTTTTAGTCACGAATTACATCAAATTTAGGTACTTCTTGGAGTAACAGAACAACATGAATCGAAAGGAATGTCGCCAATATGGTATTCAAACCCTTGACAAATTGCGTAACAGTACAATACGTACAATGAGATAAAATTAGCAAATTATAAAACAACCATCATACCTCTTCTGCAACGGTCGTTGGTTAAACTTGATGCACAATCTCTCGTGTTTCTGATTGAACAAGTCGTCCCCGAACTGCGTCTTGACACATTTCTGATGTGCCTTCCCGAACTCCTCGACAGTGTTCCCATGAGGACAGATCTTCTTCCCATTGTGGTTTATCACGTCGATGTAGGAGTCTGCCTCACTGTACGACTGGTTCAGCTCCTGACACTGGTTCCCTCCGGATGGGAAGAGGCCGCCAAATTTGGTTAGGTGCTCAGTTGAGAAAGCGTTAAGTCGTTGCTGGGAATATGGTTTTTGGTGTCGTCTGTTAGGGCAAAAGTTTGAAGTGAGTGGTGAGTTAAAGTGAGTGGAGCCGCTGAGAATGATATTTATAATTTTATATTAAGTGTTTTCACTAAGTCTGTGCCATAGCCTAAACTTCTATTTAATCGAGTTCTTAGAACAAATTGCATTACTTTTCAAACTAATTTATATGTGACTGAAAACTTGTTTCGAAGTTTTTTTGAAGATTTTCATTAATGGATTGTGTAAATTGTTCTCAATGTCTTCATTATTGAGTTTTATTAGAATAAATAGATCGTGGTAGCCCGTATGTTAGGTCTCCCGCTTCTTAAGCATAAGGAAGCAGGTATGTAACCTGGCAAGTACCAATGTGCCTCTTTCTAAGTAATATGTAGTTTTTAAGTATATTATTTAAGCACCACTAGTGAACGGTGAAGGAAAGCGTAGCGAGGAAACGTGTACATATAATTTAAAATTATGAGTTTCAAATCATCAGTCTTAAGCAAACATGGTGATTAATGCTTAAAACTTCTTCGTGTATGAAAAGACATTAATTTGCTCTACAGAGGGCATATATAGGCTGATGATAAATAAAATAAAAACAAAATTCTACACGTAAGTTCTTCAATTTTAGTTGATACATAATTTGTTTTACAACCAAAGTTTGAATTGAAACTTTACCACAGAAAGTTAGAACAAAATACCAAACACAGCGGCAGCGTATCAAAAGTAAAAATAATATGTACTCACTACGATATAATATAAACTAAAAGTAAGGAGGGTACTAAGTTAAAAAGTGCCAGGAAACGCTACATTTTTAAAAGATTTTTTATTTTTTTTCTAACAAAATAGACAAAGAACAAAACAATTCTACAAGACATGCTACATAGAGGCCTCATATGAAGTAATGGGTCACATGCTTTCGCCTGTGGTGGTGGTGTTTTCTGAAAATGATAAGCGAAAAAATTTTGCTTACCATCTGTTGTTAAATACAAAGTTTCAAAATCCACTAAGTATATTAAAATTTCATAAAGATTTCTTTAAAAAAATATGATTGATGTGAAAAATCCATGTTTTATGTAGCGTAATAAACAAAATGAAAAATGAAAATAACAATAGTATTTTTTTCAGCGTGTTTTTTTTTTAATAATTACGCTTTTCAACTGATTTTCCTGTTAGTAAGCAGAAGGAATGTATCACGTAAACAATAATATAAAGATATGGAATGAATGATTTAAAAATGATTTGAATTCTGAATGGTTAGGACTCGAAATGACAAGGCGAAAATATCGAATTTTTCATAATATTTAACTTGAAAAATAAAGTTTTTCTCACCTCCTGCTTCTCCTAACGCATAGTATGCAGACGGCTGTGGTGCAAGCCCCAATGAACACGATGCACCCCAGAGCCACTACGCTGATCTCCATGGTGTTGAGCAGGCGACCACTCCTGGCCTGCACCATGGCAGTGTCACCCACTTCCAGTACACGGAACCCAGCCAGATCGTGGCGTAAATCCGTCTCACGTTTCATTAGGGACCTGTTGAATTAGATATTGTTTCTCAATACTAATGATTATTTCTAGCTTTACGACATTATAGGTTATTTTTTTTTGTGTTAAACGTTCTTCCATACTTGGATTTCCTCTTATGTCGAGGGTATGTTTACAAACATAAACTTTCAGATACTCGTACATGGTACCCAGACACGAAAAAATATTTTTTGGATAATTTGGACGGCAGTTGGTTAACCAGCCAACGCCCCAACTGAGTAGTTAAATTATGAGTAATAAATAGAAGATACATATTTATGATAAAGACGTTGGTATTGTAACCACACTATTTCTACATACTTATACAGATGTGCAAATAGATAGGATAGAATAGAAGTTGAAAACTTACTTTTGAAGCACTTCCATATCAATGATAGCATTAGACAGCGGATCAACTCCGTAGATGTACAGATCGGTCCTGGAAAAGGCAAGAAAATATTATATTTCAGTTGTCCGTGAAATCTGTGTAATAGAAAAAAAATATAGATTTTCATAGATTCATCACGGAATCGTTTATTATGATTTCATTGTTTTTAGAACACTTAAAAGAATAAATTAATATTAATTTCAACTCACGCATATCCGTCCAAAGAAGCTTTGTTGTGCGCTTCCAGTCTTCTAACTCTAATGTCGTATCCTGTCATGGCGGTCAGGGATTTCGTAATGTTTTCTACTTCTTTTTCCACTTCCATAGGTTTAGCTCCAACAACCAGCACCAGTTGTTTATTCTCGTCTAAGACGTACACCTAAATCAAAATTATTTATTAAAGTATTTTTATGTAAAAGTCCTCTATACTTTTCTAGTTAAAATTTTGCATATAAAATTTACTCTACGTGTTAGTTAAGTTGCAATAAAAGCTACAACGTATGTAGGTGTCTTCATTATTCAACATAAATAAACCCACTTAATTACTTATTCGTGCGTTTCACAGATTTCATACTTACGAAAACGTTAGCAATAGCTGACTTCCCATCATCAGCTCCACGTTTGTCCGTAGCTTTGACATCAAAGCCAAACACACGACCCGCATCACGAGTGAGAGCCGACACGACGCGGACACGACCCGATACCGGGTCGATGGCAAATCGTGGCGCTTGCTCGTTTATGATTTGGTAGCGGATGTCCGCGTTGATCCCCACATCCGCATCCGTCGCCTGGGGCACAAATTAATGTTGCTTATTATTGTTTGGAGACAATAAAATGTAAATGTTATTTAAATTAAGTTAATGCAACTGTGTTGGGAAAAATTTCGTAAACCAAATATTTTTTAACGCGGTAATGTACTCAAAGAATTACCATAAATGAAAAATAAATATAGATTTCGCTGACTCACCTTTAACTGTATAACTTGGTATCCAAATGGAGCTGTCGTTGGAATAGCTGTGACCAATGGCCGTCCACCATTCGTGAACTTTGGAGCATTATCGTTCACATCCCTTATCCTCACAATAACCTTGACATCGTATTTAGTAAGTCCTTCCATAACATCATCAGCTACAGGATATATCATATGTGGTAATTCTCTACTTATCTTCTGCCTCTCAGCTCTCACTACAATCTCGTACACATCTCTTACCTCTCTGTCTGGACTTCTTACTAAGTATAAGGTACCGTTTCTAGGATCAATTACAAAAGACTTCTTTATGTCTTCATCGTTCTCATTCAAAATGAAGTATTTCATCTTGAAGTTTTCATAGTGCTCCGTTAAGTTCAGGGTAACCATCTCGACAGGCGTTTGCACATTCTCTTCAATCTCTAATTCGTAATACCTTGAAATAAATACTGGTTTATCTGACACTTCCACGTCATCAGGAACATCAGTAACAGTCAACATTAAAATGGCTGTAGAACTTAAACTTGGAGATCCTAAGTCAGAAGCTACAATCGTGACGTTATGAACTGTCTGACTTTCATAATCAAGCCGTCCCATTGTCGTGATTGTGCCTTCTTTGGAATCAATAGCGAAAAGATTAAGTTGATTTTTGCGTTGAGGTAGACTGTATAGAATGAGACCATTACCGTTACCAATAAAATCAGAGTCATTAGCAAAAACTTTGGTTACGACGGTCCCAACAGGAGCATTTTCTTTTAGAGTCGCTTTGTAAACCGGTATCATCATTACAGATTCAAAGTTATGATTTGATAATTCATCAGCTTCAGGATGTTTCCACTCAAGTAACTCGTCGTAAGCATAAAATTTAGGAGCATTATCATTCACATCCAAAACTTGAACTTCAACACTGACAGTGGATGAAAGTTTTTTATCATAACCGTTATCCTGTGCTACAACAGTTATCACATACTTGTCTTCTTTTTCCCTGTCCAATTCACCATTAACACTAAATACTCCTGTCAATGGTGATATTTCAAAAGGCAAGTCTGGTGATTTAGGTTGAATGGAATATGTCAAGTTAGCATTTTGGCCAAAGTCAGCGTCAGTAGCGTCTACTTTCCCTAAAACTCGTCTAGAGTACTGAGCTTCCTCTACATTAAAGCTGTACCAAGATTTTTTGAACATTGGGAAATGATCATTTATATCTTTGATAAAGAATCTAATTGATATGTGATCGCTCAAATCACCGCCATCTACTGCAGAAATGTTAAGTCTAAATTCTGCTTCAGGAGGTAATGTTCGTGCAACAATTACGTGACCATGTCTTTCATTGATGACAAAATAGCGTTTTACCTGCATGCCTTTCGAAGACATGCTGTGAGGTGGAATGAAAACTTCAGAAACAAACTCATATCTTACTTGTCCGTTTATACCAATATCCATATCTATGGCATTAACTTTCAATATTGTTGAACCAATAGCAATGTTTTCTGGTACCACGAATAGTGGTCCTGTCGCTTCTGTGCTCAAAGCGAATTTATTCTTTGGTTTTACCTCTGAGTTTGATATGCCCGCAGTAGAGTTATTTTTTCTCTCTCGGTATATTTTAACTGGTGCTTTTTCGTCTGATTCTAGGAGTTCTATATTTTCTCCAAACGGTATAACAATTTGGTTAAATTTAGGAACATTATCATTTTCATCTAATATTGTAATAGTCAGTTTAGCTTCCGAGCTAAGTCTACCTCTATCTCTTGCAATAATCTTTAATAAATAGGAACTTTTCTCTTCTCTATCTAATCTGTTTCCTATAAATGTCACCTCTCCGGTGTTTTCATCGACGTGGAACATTTCACGCCCATCACCGAACAATGTGTATGTAAAAGATGCGTTCGGCCCTAAGTCGGCATCTTTAGCTAATATTTTATTTGTCATTTTGACCTCAGTGTCTTTAGGTGAGTTTTCAGCAATGAATCCTTCGTACATAGGATATTCAAATATAGGCGGGTTGTCATTTTCATCTTCAACATGTATCGTTACTTGATATATGCCAGCTCCAGATATCATACCTTTAGTGAATTCAGCGATCACTGTCATTCGGTAAGTGTCACGTTTTTCTCTGTCTAAAGGTTTCTGAGCAAAAATGGTACCATCTTGTCCTACAAAACCAAGATTTTAATTTAGTATTATTAGTTATTAAATACAATTAAATATATGTATATAAAAATTTAAGTAATACTTTACCAATCGCAATGTCATCAGTTACATCTTGCTGATTTGCGATTATGAACCTTATATTTCCAGTATTATTAACATGCAATGCAGTAACATTGATTGGAAATATTTGACCTATTGTAGCACCTGCGACATTTTCTTTTACATAAAATTCTAATGGCGAGTGTGCACCTCTGTAACAAGACAAATAAATCTTAATAACTTTAAAATAGTGTACTACACCCATTCTCACTTGGTTAACGATTTGTACTACCTCAAAAGTACGCCTCTCTCATCATTTACATCAACCACGTGGACCGTTGCATTTGTAGTTATACTAATGTTTGCGTTTTCTTGTATTGCGACGGCTTCAAAATCATACATGGGTCTATTATATTTTGTAAGTTCATCAACTACTGTTATTACTCCTGACCTTTCTTCTACAGCAAATGGCACTGCAATATTCACATAAACATATTAATAATGTTCATTTCATTAACGTAATAATCATTTAAACAACAATTCTGATGTATTGTTATTTGCTAACCTCCTTCTTCGTAACTATGTAGAAGATCATAAGAGACATCATTCTTTTCCATCGCGTCGTTTATTCTAATCTGACCAACACTTGTCCCAATTCCTACATTTGCTCCAACCCAAAATTCGTATGGAGCACCGATGAAACCGGGCTTGTCCGCTTTCGAACCTGTGAGAAGAAAAATAAGTTACTGGAACTATTTTTTTAACTAATTTTGTAGTTATTAGTTTAGTCACTTACCTTTACTAGGACTGGTGACATCAATAGTAACAACAGATAAGGAATATCTTCTCTCACTAGGGTTCGCCGGTTGGTCGGAAGCCTCAATGAACAAAGCATGTCTTCCTTCAACTATAGGTGACTCCGCAACACTTACAACTCCACTCTTAGCATCAATTTGGAACGGTGATGTGATAGTCAAATTACTTGTCCTTTGCAAGTCGTATAGTACCATACCATTTCTGCCTAAATCAGGATCGACAGCTTTTACTTTACCAATAGAAGTACCGATTTTTGCATTTGACTTAATTGTAAATTCGTACAAATTACTGGGTATGAATACTGGGTTGTTGTCATTAGCGTCCAAAAGTGTGACTTCAACGTTTACATAGGACATCAGCTGTTCGTCAACGTATTCCATATTTTCACTTTTAGTTCCTAGCTTATCAGGGAAAATGTATGTTGTTCTATCTTTGAGTGGTGTCCTAGTCGTAGTAGGAGTTCTGCGCCATTTGGATATCCTGTTTTTATCTAAGAAAGTACCAACTACACTTGGATTCTTTTCTTTGGCATAAACTTTCATTTTTAGTGAAGAATGCTGTTCTCTGTCCAGGATTGTCTGGAAACAAAGTCATAACCGTAACAAAAGCTGTTCTAATTAATATTCTGTTAATACTAAGCCATCTATGTATTTAATAAGAAAGTGAATATGCACCTGATTTCTGACAGTAAGCCAACCAGTTCTAGGGTCAATGGTGAAAGCACCTTCGGGGTCTTTCAACTGATACGTGAACTCTCCATTGTCTCCCTGGTCTTTATCGGTCGCCATCACTTGCAGAACACTGAAACCTTTTTAAACCAACATAAATTACAACCTAGTTAGACGACCTTTAATCATAATTAATGGGTTCTTAGGCTAGATGACAACACAATCTTACCGTTTGGTAAATTCTCCACAATACTTATGTTGTAGAAGTCTACTTCAAACTCTGGAAGATTATCATTTAAATCCAACAATTCGATCTCGACTCTGGCCTGAGCTGTTTTTAAGGGATTATCCAATTGAGATGCCTGCACTTGGAGCACAAATGTATTGCCTGAAAAAAGAAAATTACCAATAATTGAACCATTATCATTTAGGAAGTATTCGCCTGTATTTTTTTTTCATTCTTAAGTATATTAAATACCTGGCAAATTAGATTCTGCATCCAAATCAATTTCTTTATCAAGGAACAAAGTGCCATTTCGAGAATCTAAAGAAAATAGCTTCCTGTCATTCCCAGCTACCAGCTCATACTTCAAAGCTGCATTCACACCAAGATCTTGGTCGAATGCCTTGATTGGTTCCGGAAAAAGTAGCTCTTTATGTATTCGCTTGCCCTAGAAATTAACAAAACGATAAATATAGTAATGGTGTAACCATTTATTGCTTATATTGTTTATCTCAATTTGACCCCAATGTTATCATTATCACGCGTCTGCTAAGCAAAATGAGTCCCCGATTAGGGTTGACCCTTTTATTACCTGTGTTCAGAGAGATTGTTGGCTCGAATCATTGAAGTCAATCGATTTGTTAATGTAATCCGTATAAGTCGTATTTTGTCAGTAACAATCTCACAAGTCATAGGAATAAAAAGAGTTGAACATCAAGTATAAAAAGCTTAGAGTTCAAGTGTCAAGAACTAAAAGTACTGTCTATCGGAATAAAAACTTTTATTTGCTCGAAGTCTTGTTGAATTGATAGTAATCGATGTTCATTTTTACGATTTACAATTTAGATGTGAAAATGAAATATTTCTTGCATTTTTGTTAGCTGTCCATGTCACCGTTTTATTTATATTTGACTTGAAATGGTCATAACAATGTTTTTTAATGGTTTTGATAGAAATATTTATAATTGATGATACTTACTAGTAATGGGTAGAACTCTGGTATTTGTGTCCGATAGACATCAGCGGTGAACTTGGGAGGTAGATCATCATTGTCTTGCACGATAACGTGAACAGTTGCGTTGGAGCTGCGTGGTGGAGACCCACGATCCTGAAGCATTACAAGGTACATCGTGAAAGTATATGTTTTTAATGTATTTTTTAGCATGGATAGGAGAAAGAACATTGTTTGATAAAAGTTGAGTTAATTAAAATTCAAAATAGTGATCTACTTAACTCTAATGTTGGATAAATTTAAAATAGAAATTCTGAAGTAGGTCTCATTTAGGAGCACTTATATCTGACAATCACATTTAAGACAGTAATAAGTTTTGTATATTTCATTAAACACTCAAGAGTTGGCTCAAGATCTTTTAATAAATGCAATAGAACTTAAAACCTTTCACTAAGATGTGGATTTTAATAGATTAATTCTATTCTTTTATTAAATATTAAATTCAGTGCCCGAATTAACTCATTCTATCAAAAAATCTCTTACCGAAGCAGTAACAACCAATGAAAAGTCTTTATCTCCAGCATCGTAATCCAAAGGCTTCTTGAGTATAAGGACTGGTTTGTGAGAAGACTCCAAAGCGAAGTGACCTTCTGGATCTCCTGAGATAATGCTGTATTGGACATCGGAGTTGGGAGTGTTTGGCTTGTCACGATCGAAGGCATGGATCCCTTTGAATATTGTCAGGCCTGTAAAAAAGAAAAAGTAATATTTGTATTATCAAAACAAAGATTATAAAGTTAAGCCATCATTCTTGTTAGACGTTTAAAAGGTAAAGAAAATATTCCAAAAGTATTTCGTAAAAATTAATTTCGCACAAAACATGTTTCAACAATCCTTTGGTCATCTCGTTAGAATATCCAATGGACGGTCTATTGAATTAGTTGAGCCGATAAAAAATCTTGTTTGAATTTCTAAAAGATCAATGAGAAAATATAATATTTGGTGGGCGGCCACAGACAATAATGTCTTTGACCTTTGTCTATATAGCAGGAGACGAAACTTCCTTTGAGAAGCATATTGTGTGGAGACGGTTCGTGAGGACTTTTGTTTGCGAAGCTATCATATTGGTCTCGAGAAATCTTCGCCGTAAGACATAGATCAAGCGATGTCATTAATATTAAGTGCTTGGATAACTTTTTCATTACAGACGAAATGTTTGCCAACAAAAATAAATCTTCTACGAAACAAAATAGTTCCCGAGCCACTTTTATAGTTCTACCGTAAGTACGTGCTATCATTCGAAGTGGTATTTCAGCGTCTCAAGTAGATAACACTTCCTCGATTGAGTGGCACCCACCTGTTGGTGTCAGTTCATCCACGGCGACATGGTACGGCGTGTCGAGGAACTTCGGCACGTTGTCGTTGACATCCTCAATGTACACCGTCACTGATAAATAGGCTGATATCTGAAACGTTAGAGAGAGAACTTTATATTTCATTTAAAAAATATATAAGATGCAAATGTATCATTAAACTATGTTGGTTACTTGTTTACTGTTAGCATTGATTATTAGACCGAACCCTAAAATACCCAGCAACAATGATTATTGGATTGCCTGACACTAAGGTTTTCTCCTAAGTCGTGGGTTCGTTTACAAAAATATAATAACACAGCAACAGCAATTTCTGAATCACACAAATAGTGGTCCCAAGAGGAAATCTAACCTGACACACGTTGCACGACACTTGGTTTCCCAGACACTTCGTCAACTGTGCAGTCAATATGTTTTGCCTAACGCGTGTAATCACAGACATAAAAAGTTTAGAACTCGTTCAGAACGCTTGACATTATTTTCAGCTGTATGAAGCGTGTATAGTGAAATAATAAATTGAAGTATAACTAATACAACAGTATCTACTAAAATTTGATATGTCTTAGAATGTAGTTGTTTGTAACACGACGTGTTTTCGATTTAGTGAGTACCTGAGATGCGTACACTATATTAGAACTTGTTATTCAGATGTAAACATCTTCGTTCACGATAAGACATGTAAAGACAGGTCCCTTTACTGAACGTTTTGGGGGATTCCGAATTATCTCATTTTTTTGTTTTATGTAATAGGTAGGTAAACGAGCAGACGGATTACCTGATGGTAAGCAATCAGCGCCGCCCATGGACACCCGCAACGGAGGAGTTACGAGTGCGTTGCCGACCTTTTAGGGATAAGGGATTAGGGATTTGGAGATTTAGGGATTGAGGTGGGATTGGGGGAGGGGAAGGATTGGGCTTCCTGTAACCTCACTCACACGGCGAAACACAACGCTGTGGTTGTTTCACGCCGGTTTTCTGTGAGGCCGTGGTATCGATCCGGTCGAGCCGACCTATTCGTGCCGAAGCATGGCTCTCCCACACTTTTTGGGAGATAATTTTGTTATCCACGTAATTTTATTACGAATATGAATTTATGTAAAAATACAAATGGCAAAAAATAAAATAATATTGTGAGGCAACGTTATTATATTTTAGATTGAGCTTGGTTTTTATAACTTTACTAAAATTTGTAATAAGCTAACATATAAAATCAATGTCCCGTGTAATCTTACTTCGACGTTTGAATTATTACTTATAGATACACAATAGTCCATAAAAAACTACAAATATTTACTAGCACCTAAAAACCGATTGAAAATCGGCATAGAACAAGACTTTCTAAATAAAAAATATTTATATTGAAAACGAATACGTCTCCAAGTGGTTCACGTCCCGACACGTAAAGAGTACAGAGAAACGTTTTTACGTTTGCTTTTACAATCTAACATCGTTAACGTGAAACATGTTGAAGTGTCAATGAACTGAAGAAAGGAAAATGTTTCCGACATACACAGGGGTACTCTTTTATAACGAATTATAGGAAATCTAAGGTTATTGCGTGATATGAAAAGCTGACTTTTATTACAAGAATATTATTATGTGAAGTTGCAAAAGAACCCCTTTGAACCCTAATCCTACTTGATCCTGATTAACAACTTTTTTGTCGCTTTTCGTAGGTAATGTGTTTTTTTATAAATAGATTCAATCTCATTCATAAATTTTCCTTCAAATATGACAACAATTTTACAAAAAAAAAAAAATCTACGTATCAAACTATGACCGCGTTGTTAACTCGAACAGTTTAAGTAAACAAGCCTAAACTCTCCCCGATGAATTTCCAAAATGGAGGAATAAGATTAAAAATGTTATTTTATCTCCATGGCTAAATTAAGGACGGATCGCGATCCCGAGGGTAGGATCCCATCAGAAGTATGGGAAATGATCCGTCGGCTCGTCGGCAACTGGGTGAAGGACGAATGCCTATCTGAGGTGACTGGCTTAACCCTGACAACTTTCAGCCGCATTGTTCCTCAGGCATTTTTAATATACACCCAAAACATTCCGTACCTTCGACAGAATAAGGACCATTTTCCCTGTGTCATTGGTTAGCGTAACTTTGCAAAAGCGTTGCAAATCTTTGGAAAATCCTTGCAAGCTTGGATTTAAATTCAAAGCAGGGCAAGCCACCATTAATTTCTTTTTTAGCATCTCATTAAAATTGACTTCCGCGGAATGAGAAAAATTATAACTTCAACTTGTAACTTTGTGACCTTGTTGTGTCATGACTTGTACGTATTTCAGCTCAGAAAGTGTTTTTCTGCGCAATGTTAGAAACTTTTTAAGGATCGAGTTTAATTTCCAAATTGATTTAAGTAATCATTATTTAGTTTTGTTTTGTTTATAAAATCTAAATAATCTTTAATTTCAAGGCAGACAAAGTTTGAGAAAAGTAAGTGTGGGAGAGCCATGCTTCGGCACGAATGGGTCGGCTCGACCGGAGTGCCACGGCCTCACAGACGACCGGCGTGAAATAACCACAGCGTTGTGTTTCGCCGTGTGAGTGAGGTTACCGGAGGCGCAATCCTTCCCCGCCCCCAATCCTTCCTTAATCCCTAAATCTCCAAATCCCTAATCCCTAAAAGGTCGGCAACGCACTCGTAACTTCTCCGTTGCGGGTGCCCATGGGCGGCGCTGATTCATCAGGTAATCCGTCTGCTCGTTTGCCGAACTATTACAACAAAAAAAATACGTTGGAACCAAGATTTTTCAATCCAACACACACGTAGAAAATTGATGTATTGACTCATTCTATGAGTCAACAGGTAAATTTTATCTATACTCTATTTCTACTCCTATAAATAATTGAGTGAAACAAGCCTAGCCTGAGGTACACAAAATAGCTGTCACTCTAACATAAATGTCTAAATTGTGTTTCTAAGCTCTGATGAAATATTCCAGCACAATTTCGGTATGACGAGCAAGTGAGATATTAAATGTAGTCAAAGAGGCGCACATGTGGCTCATTACTGACCTACTTTATGTTACATAAAGTGAAATGTTTTAAAGGAACCTCTTTGTGGTGAACTGAGGAAATTAAACAAACGGTACATGCGTATAATGTAGGTGAAATGTGTTGGATTTATTAATAATTATATGACATACGGTGGAGGAAAACATCGTGAGGAAACCGGGACTTATAATTTCTAATTATAAGTATGAAATCGCTAGTCCGCCTTGTTGGTCAAGGCGGACTAGCGTGGTGGGTCAAACCTTCCCCGTGTTAGAAGAGGCCTTTGCTCAGCAGTGGGTATACCATAAAATACATCACATAAAAAAAATTATACCATCTTTTGAATCGGTAAGATGTATTCGGTATGGGTTTTTTTTTTGTGAGGGGAAAATCATCAAATGACTTCTCCCGCCCAGAGCCGGGCAGGAGGGAGTGTCAGACTCTTACTGCCTAAAACCCCCCTGTTCCTTCTCCTGCTCTGTGCCGAGGTCGCGGTACCTCATTGCGCTTACCCCGCAACCCCGACTGAACATCAGCCCTTTAGGGCCCCGTCTGTGGTGGTCGAATGGCTCTTTGAGGCGCGCGCGGAACGCTACGCGCCGTACGCTCGGGCCTGGTTCTGGTCGGGCGGTGAGCTGCCCTTACTCGCCGACCGCAGGCCCGTGCTTACGGTGGCCGGAGATCGTCCCTCGATCCCCGACGCCCGTAGTGTCGCCAGTTGCGGCTGCTGGGGCGTGAGGAGGAGGATTATACAAACCTTCCCCGTGTTAGAAGAGGCCTTTGCTCAGCGGTGGGTATACCACAAAATACATCACATAAAAAAAATTATACCATCTTTTGAATCGGTAAGATGTATTCGGTATGGGTGTGACCGTATTTTGAAGCAATTTCGAGGATTTATGAAGTAGGACTGGATGCGGGAAAGTTGCAACAGAAACCATACTCAATTTTAAGTTATAGTCATTCATTCGCCATTGTCAACGTCAGTTAAAGTTCTTAAAACCATTTGGGTTGGAAACTCTCCTGCTGCGTATATGACTATGGCTATACCAAAGATAAATGAGAAATAACAAAACCACATATTAAACATATAATAATATGCGGTTTTCAAATTGAAGGTAATTGGATAATATGATTTAAAATACAAAACCTAACTCGATGGTTTAAACCTAAACTAGAGATATATCATGTTTTGTGAAAAAGGGGGGAATATGTATATTTACCAAATCATCCCCAGCATCGAAGTCGCACCCCAACCGAAACTTGACGACGTTTTGCGGAGAGTCACTGTCGACCAATGCGTCTACACTCTGAGCTAGCACAACAGACACATGTGTTCGGTTCACATCCCGGTACGTGAACAGATGAGCATCCTCTTCTCGGTCCACTGGCTGTAAGCTTAGGTTTTTCCTGGAAAGAAAGAAAATAAAGATGTAAGTAAGTATACATTGACTTGAAACATAATTTGACATTTCTACTTTTAATCCCCAAAGGCTGGTCTTGTACAAGACCCACGAATTATTCAAATCCAAATAAATAGTATTTTATACACTATAAAAGTAGTTTTTGAGTTTTGGTAAGAGCGACATCTATGAGTTTGTCATAGAACCCGTTTACAATCAAACCTCGAGTCAGTCTATTGCTTCAAAGACTCTTCTGATTTCGTCATGTTATACAACCAATCCGCTAGATGGCATTTAGGTAAATAGCAACTTTTGTTAAATGTTAATTCTTTCTTTAAGCTAAATTTTTATGTTCGTTTAAGACATTACCCTAATAGTATGAATTAATATTATTTAACAAAAAATCTCAGTTAATAACATAATAAAAACGGTAATGTCTGTTAATCTAGTATTTCCGTGTCTAACACCGAAATAAACTAAGTAATAGTTCAAATAACAACCTGAAAAGTGTTATAATGACATAATAACTGAGAAAATAACATTAATTTGTGTTATTATGAGTGGATTTGTGGAAATTCTCACGACGCACGTCCGGAAGCCACAATGGCGGATGTAAAGATATGAATCTTATTTAATCTGTGCCACCTATTGTGTTAAAATGTTATTTACTATAATTAGTGATGCAATCGATATTCATGTTTGTTTAAAAGCTTTTTGATCGTGAGAAGTAATCTCATCTTAGAAAAATATGGTTTGGTAAGCAGTAAATTCTAAGAGATGTAGATAATATTCGATTTAATTTAAACGTGTTTTTGCATCGTTGGTATTTTTAATTAATGCTGTTACGTAGGTATTATCTGTTAGTTCTAATTGAATTAAATCTTTAAATTTCATTGCTTAAGCATTTCAACGAATTAAGACGTAAAGATTTATAAGATCAAGTATAGGAACACAATATTATTTGATGACAATGCAGTCTGGATTTTGGGTTATAAAACAAAACATACTAAACTTGTTTCAAAATATTTTAAAAATGTATCTCATTCCTACTTCATTTGACGCTTTTCACTCAATTTTGATAACACTTAAGAAAAAGCCACACTAAACTCACAAGAAAAAAAAACTGCATAGGAAGATTCGTAATCGTAATAATATATCATTTTTTGTTATTTTTTATAGTTATTTTGAATACTCTTTGTTCAATTTTAATCAGCGCTAAACGCTTCCCTATTTTTATTTTGTATTTGTCTCTGTCTCTTTGATAAACGTTGCCCCACACTAGGATTATCTCCTGTGTCGTGGGTGTGGTTACAAACATACAATATTACATACACAACACACCCAGACCCGGAACAACAATTTGTAGATCACACAAAGAGTTGTTCTGCGCGGAAATTGTACGGCAGCCCGTTGCCCAGCCACGGCACCAACCGTGCAGTCAGTTTTGTATAAACCTTAATGTTATGTTTTATCTAGAGCTTAGAAACACAATATTATAAAAAGTTAATATTTAAAGGTTTTTAAGGTTTTTATAATATTATAAAAACCTTAAAAAGTTCAGGAAGTCCGAGTCTGGTTTGATTTATAGATCATACCAACCTAGTTCAATTTAAGACATAAAAGTTAATTAACTTTTTAGTTTTTCTAGACATACTATTATCCAATAACGACTAGTGAAGATATTGATATATCTAATAAACATCACGATGATGAATCTAGAGCAATCAATACCTAATCAGGTATTCATAGAATTATTCTCGAAATTTGCATCTAAGTTATTTTTGCTGTGATTTGATAGATTAAATTTATGATGTCCTTGAATTAAATAAGTATCCTCAAAATTGATATTGTAATAATCATCGCCGCTGTTATTGTCATCACAGCTGATAGCCAATTAAATAGATAACTATCATTCTTAGTGATTTCTGAAAAGATGATCTCATAACCTTGTCAAGGTAATCTATCATCCATCCATCACTTAGAATGTCACAGCAATATAACATTTGATTTTAAAAACGTTTTCCTACAACTGGAATTAAATACACCAGAATTATCTCGAGTTCTGCATTCATAAGCATAAAGTATCAAATCACAACGATACCTGAAACATTAATAATCTGTGGATCACACAAAGTGTTGCAGCCCATCCACCGCCATTTTTTTATATGGTATTTCAAATCTTTTATGACCGTTCATTACAATCAATTCGAGAAGTTTTAATGAGTTTCTTCATAGAATTCTATATCTCAGTCAAGTTATATAGAACTGTATACTTGTATCAAAGAACCAGTAGCATCGTAACTCTTATATACCTAATTTATAGTATTAGCCATTAACCGCTGTTCCGGACCGACTGTACAACTCGTCTCCAACGGCAACCAGCTGCCACTGCTAGGAAGATTACCATGCAACGGTATATTCAATAAGATCACTGGACTTTGATGTATGTATGTAGGTTCTGTGATAAAAAATGGCTGCCTGGTGACATTATTTTTATTATATTTAACTTGCAATGTATGTAATTGGGTACGGTACGGTCACGAAGAAGACTGACTCCTAACGGTGAAAGAATTACGTAAAATGAACGAGCATTTTATTAGATCACAACATATCGTTTGACATATACATACAAACACGCAATACTTATGAAATCAGCAAAATGTTACCAGAGCTAAAAAGTTATTTGTTTACTAATGACTGTATTTAAATTAAAAAAGCTTTTTATATTAATATAAACCCATTAAACCTAGCTTTATAGGCAATCTGTGATGATCAGTATTTCTAAATATTGCTTAAAAACTCGTTTTAAATTAGGTTATTGATCTTTTATTAACAAATCATAGAATTTTGTTCTGAGACTTATATTAACAGTTTTAAATTAATTTTAATTATTTTAAATTACGACGAATGTATTTTTCTGTTTTAAATCTAATTGCCCTACAAATTTTTATCCCAAGGTATAAAACAATATTTTCTTCTCATTCTTTACTCTTGAAATGAAATGACTAAGAAAACGATTGAAGTGAGCCTTTTGTCAACACACTGCACATTTCGTGATTTTTTAGAAAAACCCGAAACAAACCCAAAGAAAATGAAAGTAAAAATAAATTATAACATTTAGCCCATTTTAAACTTAAAACATTTTTTTAAGATTATAGTGTCAGTCAGTCAGTCGGTCTGTCCTCTAGCTATTTGCTTGCAAACAAAAGATCCTTTAGAAATCACACATTTAATCAAATTCATAGTAAAAATGGGTAAAATAGGTCATTTTCAAATCAGGACAAATAATAATTTCCGTTCATATTGACCCAGTAACGTTGAACTATTGTTGTACCAGCTGTCAGATCCCACGTGGTAAAAGTCGGGCGAGGGAACCAAGCCGCGGTATTCATACACCGTGCTAATCTATCGTTACCGATGTATCTCTGATGTTTATCCTTATATTCTGCTGACAATTATGATGTGGACGATAAGTGGATTTTGTGCTTGTATTATATATACATAGATTGATCATGTATCTGTGTACAGAAATGCTGATTTTTGTGTGACAGTAAATAAATAGCTCAACGGAGTTTACCAGAGGCCCAAACCCGCCCCTTTCTCCCATCCCTTCCAAATCGTTTAATATCAGAAACTCTGATCCCTTAAAAGGCCGGCAACGCACTCGTAACTCCTATTGGCGCTGCGCTGATTGATTACTATCAGGTAATCAGTCTACTGATTCGCCGAGCTAAATCATAAAAAAAACATGTTTTTTACATAATTCGATTATTTCTGAACCCCAATTCTGATTAATTGAACATTAATCTAGTCGTAGCCGTGGGGTCATCCGCGGGTCCAGCTTGGAGCAGCAAAAGGATCGAGACACAATGTTCATAGTCAGTAAGAGTCTCACACTCCCTTTCAATGAACTCAGAGCGAAAAGAGTCACGTGAAAAGGTACCGTCTTAAATCTATTCAAAAAGGAAATGGATTCATACGTATTGAGTTTACGATAGATACATTCCTACCTATATACACATACAAATATCAACAGACTAGGTATTAGTAATACAAATTATGCTAATCAGAATAACATTAGCACATGCAGAACATTCGCACATCTGCAATCGATTGCTATAATGTTACTGCTAAACTGAAATAAATATTAGAATGTGTTGTCCTTGCGACATTACTGCTCACCTGTCTTCATTATGTCGTTATAATGATACGTAGATTGTAGCTGTCGACAGCAGGAGCAATTATTTTGTTAGTGAAAGACGGTCTGACTGTGATCTCATTTTTTGAATAATTACCTGCTATTTGGAAACGTTTATTAATATTTGAAATACGTTTGGATGAAAATGACACGGTATAATGTTTTCGAAGTATGTAGATTATAATTAGTAGTTATTATACATTTTATATGAAAGCTCTCCTAGGGTCAGTCTCCGAGGGTCAGTCTCAGTTTTTTCATGTCATAGGTTGTTAAAAGTGAATGCGGATTATCAGAGGAGTTCCAAGTGCGTTGCTAGCCGCTTGCGATTAGGATACTGGAGATTTGGGCATTGGGGAGAGATGGGGGGAAGGATTGGACTGGGCCCTGGTAACCTCCCTCACACAACGAAACATAACACTAGTTATTTTACGCCGGTTTCCTGTGTGGCCGTGGTATCATTCTGGTCGAGCCGACTAATTAGCCGAAACTTGGCTTTCCCAAAAAAATATTCGAGTAGATACTTTAGTTAAATAGATATTTTTTTTTATCTAAGAAGGCAGAATTTTTGAAAATGATTTTGTAATTTTGCACCGTGAATGAACCGTTTCAATCGACAATACGTAACAAGTTAAGAAAATTACATTGTGTAATTATTATTTTTGACTGCATGGAAGGTTGCTGCCCAGCAATGGTGGGTAAATGGCCTGTGCGCAACATGTTCGTATGATTAACGCCCAGAACAAGCCTTTGTGTGATCTACAAGTTGTTATTCCGGGTCTGATGTATAAGCATATGAAAATGTATGCTTG